TTATATGTATAGTAGTTAGTAGTATATAGTATATATATATATATATATATATATATATATATATATATATATATTATATATATAGTATATATATTAGTGTGTGTGTGTGTGTGTGTGTGTGTGTGTGTGTGTGTGTGTGTGTGTGTGTGTAGTATATATATATATATATATATATATACGCTGTATCCGAAAGCCTTAGTTAGCGTCGCATCACTCTTGGCTGTGCTGGATGGGATGTTGACAATTCGTTATCTCGACCACAAGCCCTCCAGTCATTATACGAATTAATTATATCCTCTCACCGGCAGCTCTCTATTGAACGGTTACACTTATGCACATACGCATCAGCAATCCTTAGTACAGTATTGTAGTCGGTATGCTACAAGCATTCTCATCCCATTGCCTACACATGTATGTGTGCCCGTATCCATATCAGCAAACAACACTTATGCACATACGCATCAGCAATCCTTAGTACAGTATTGTAGTCGGTATGCTACAAGCATTCTCATTCCATTGCCTACACATGTATGTGTGCCTATATCCATATCAGCAAACACGCGCTGTTACGAAGACGATATCACTGCTAGAGCTAGTCCACTGGAGGCTAGGGACTATACCACACACACCAGCTAAGGATGTGCACATCCTTTATCTTCAGCTGTGTGTTTCTGCCTAGTGCCGCACACCCCTAAGCTAACGCTCTCATACTTGGAGGGGAGGCCAGAGCCCATCTTATCTGCAACGAGGTTACAGGCACTGAGACGCCTTCTGTGTAGAGGAGTACCTATCGCACGCGATCAATAAACGTAACCCTTACCGTTGCCAAACTATAAACGTTTTGGTCGGTACTTGGAACCCTGGAATACGATACGTTGCCCAAGTTCTAAACGTTTTGGTCTGTGCTTTGAACCCTGGAATATGATCCATTGGCACGTGACCGGGGTGTGCCTGGGATTGATGAGAAACTGCGGCTCCTAAGCGTTGGCTGAGGCGCTCTCTGCATCACGATGTTACTGTGTGGACAGAATCACCGACAGGTAGGTAGGAAGGTAGGTGGAACATGCCTGTTAGTAGTCATAGGTATGTGGTAGGTATGTACAACGTTCAATGCTGACAGGTAAGTAGTGGGGGGACCTTCACTATCCATAGGTACGTGGTAGGTAGGTATAACGTTCAATACTGACAGGTAAATAGTAGGGTGACCTTCACTGTCCATAGGTAAGTGGTAGGTAGGTATAACGTTCAATACTGACAGTTAAGTAGTGGGGGGACCTTCACTATCCATAGGTATGTGGTAGGTAGGTATAACGTTCAATACTGACAGGTAAGTAGTCGGTGGACCTTCACTATCCATAGGTAAGTGGTAGGTAGGTATAACATTCAATACTGACAGGTAAGTAGTAGACGGACTTTCACTATCCATAGGAAAGTAGTAGGTAGGTATAACGTTCCCCAGCAGTTTTCCCAGTATCCCTCACTAGGCCCTGATGCCAGGTAGAGTACCCACCGAACTGTCCCATTTCACAGCATACCTGTGTTTACGTGCCAGTCTGTGCTTCTCCTTAGTCTTTTTATTCGTGATGACGCCTACAGCCACCATGATAGCGCCAAACACCCCTACGAGACATCCAACACAACACATTCTGCAGGGGAGAAAGTACAAACAAATAAGGTAAGAACAGACAAAGAAGGTAAGTACAAACACATAAGGTAAGTACAAACACATAAGAACAAATAAGGTAAGTACAGCCACAGAAGGTAAGTACAAACAAATAAGGTGAGCGCTCTAGTTTACAGACCTTCTACAGAGGAGACAGGACAAACAACCAAAGTGGGCATCTGATAAAAACCCATTCTGATAAAAATTTACTCTGATAAAACCCACTCTGATGAAAACCCACTCTGAAAACCCCCACTGTGTTAAAAACCCATCCTGATAAAAACCTACTCTGATCTGTCCGTAACACGTGCCAGGTGAGATGCTGCTTGGTGATGCACTACCGAGAACGGGACAAATTTCGGCCCCGTTTACACGTTTACGGGTGCACTGCGGAATACATCCAGCACTTGGCGTGTTGCTACAAACGTTATCAACGCGTACAATATATAATGTGAACACTACATACGCGGTCTGGAAGTCGGTACGTTTGCTGATGGCAGTAGCCAGTACTGGCCCAATAGTCTCACCCAAAGAAAAGGCCATCTACATAGGATGAAGTGTGTGTTAGGATGAGTACCACTTGGTCAAAAGTAATGTGTGAGTCATCCACATAGGATGAAGTGTGTGTTAGGATGATACCATTTAGTCATAAGCAATGTATGAGCCATCTAAATATGATGAAGTGTGTTAGGATGAGTACCACTTAGTCATAAGTAATGTGTGAGTCATCTACATAGGATGAAGTGTGTGTTAGAAGGAGTACCATTTAGTCATAAGCAATGTATGAGCAATCTAAATAGGATGAAGTGTATGTTAGGATGAGTACAATTTAGTCATAAGCAATGTATGAGCCATCTAAATAGGATGAAGTGATTTAGAATGCACAGCTAAGTAATTACAATAACAGTACAACTGCACACAAACCCCAACCGAATGTCTATATAGAATGCACAGCCAAGTAACTACAATAACAGTACAACTGCACACACACTCCAACCGAATGTCTATATAGAATACACAGCCTAGAAACTACAATAACAGTACAACTGCACACAAACCCCAACCGAATGTTTATATAGAATGCACAGCCAAGTAAATACAATCGACAACAGAACACATACACACACACGCTGAACGAACGGCATACACTATCCACAGTGGGCTCGTCGAGCATGCTAAACATAGGTATAGTACAATTGCCCCCCAACCCCCCCCCCCCCACCCACACACATACATTGAAGGAACTAGAGACAATATCCGTAGTCGTCTCCTTATCATCTTCTCCCAGCGAAGCCACCGCCGTATCCACCAACAGAGGCATGGACGGCACCAACGCCAGACTTGTGCCCAGACCCATCAACACCATAGCCATACACACAGGCCACACATGCGCCTGAGTCACAGGCAGCAGCGGGAAAGGCGCCAACAGGCCAAACCCTCCCACGGTGACAAAGCACCCGAACGCCATGAGATACAACCGATGAAACCGGTCCGCCAACCGACCGGTTACCAGTGTGCCTGTGGTGTGGTGTGGTGTGGTGGTGGGGATGGCGGGAGGGGTCTTGGTGAGCGTTGTATGTGTGTGTAGGTACATGGAGATGTGTGTAGGTACATGGAGATGTGTGTAGGCACATGGAGATGGGCAGGTTTTCTGAAGGTTCGTGTGAGAGTGTGCAGTTTGCAAGCGATAGCTGTAGCTGTGTGTCTCTGTGCAGGTGTGTGTGTGCGTGTCTCTGTGCAGGTGTGTGTGTGTGTGTCTCTGTGCAGGTGTGTGTGTGTGTCTCTCTGTGCACGTGTGTGTGTGTGTGTGTCTGTGCACGTGTGTATGTGTGTGTCTCTGTGCAGGTGTGTGTGTGTCTCTCTCTGTGCAGGTGTGTGTGTCTGTGTGTCTGTGCAGGTGTGTGTGTGTGTGTGTGGGCAGGTGTGTGTCTGTGTGTCTGTGCAGGTGTGTGTGTGTGCGTCTCTGTGCAGGTGTGTGTGTGTGTGTGTGTGGAGCAATGCCCGAGGACGGCCTTTGAAGACTGGAAGCCAACCCGCCGACCATTGTAGGTAACCGCAAGACGCTCGACCATGAGCCATTAAAGATCAACCCCACTTGCACTCGGCGTGTGTAAAGGGCAAAATAAGTCCAAAATTTATATAATAGGACAGGATGAGATTTGTCCCAAAAAGGGGCACCATGTATTAAGTTTTGTCTGAACTTGTTTAGGTGGAGCGTGTGAGTGAGTGCTGAGTCAGTCCAACCGACTACATGGCACAGTCAATTGGGCACAGGCACGCCTTGTGCATAAGCGCTAGTGGCACTTGTGAGCTTAAATGAACTGATTTCCCACAGATGTGTGACGTTCACAGTACTAGAGCCACCGCACACACACGCACACATTAATATCACTGAAGTCCTATCTAACGCCCAACTAGAACTAGAAAATAGCCGGTGTAGGGATTGCCCCGAATACATGAATTGCTAAAAAATGATCACCCCCTTCAAAACACATCTACAACAAGTGACTAAAACACACATACACACACACACACACACCTACATCAACAAGTGACTAATACCCCCACAAACAACTGAACAACAAGTGACTAATATGCACAAACACATTTATACCACTGAAGTCCTATCTAACGCCCAACTAGTACTAGAAGATAACCGGTGCAGGGATTACCTCGAATACATGAATTGCTAACAAATGATCATCCCCTTCAAGACACACCTACAACAAGTGACTAAAACACACACACACACCTAAACCACAAGTGACTAATACCCACACACACACACACACACACACACACCTACAACAACAAGTGACTAAAACACACACACCCACTCCCCTACGTACCGCAGATGTAAAAGGTGGACTGGATGATAAACACAAGTCCTATGTGGCCCGCATTCATGTCCGGAAATAGTTCGTTGAGGTGCGGCGCAAACACGGGCTCTAGGCACGAGTACGCAATGGAGATCACCACCACCTCCGCGATAATAAACATGAACTTGGGCAGCCTCAACAGTCCCAACCACAGCTGTGTATAGGACTGCTGCTCAGTGCCTGTGTTCTGTGTTATGTTGGCGTTGATGTCGTCTTCGGCCAAGCTAAAGAGAGGGGGGTGGCATGGGATATGAGAGTGTGAATAGAATGAAATGAAATGGACTGGAACATGAGAGTGTGGAGAGGTTCGGGCTGCGAGCCGTGTGTAGATGCGCATATGCAACACGCTGATATCATGAGAAGTATGATAGCAATGAGTTTGGGAGTGTCAATGATGAGTTATTCGACAGGAAGAAGTCATAGAACAGGAATGAGTCATGCGACAGCAATGAGTTGGGAGTGTCAATACGAGAAGCACGCTCAAGCACTCTCACACACCCAAAAGTGGCACATGGGAGACTATCCATATACACACACCAGATTATACTCTCAAGGACACATG